GAAGGCATGAATGTACCCAACAGACGGTAGAACGTGATCACCAAGACATGCAGGGAAACGTTCACAGCAGAGCTGTTCACAATAGCCCCAAACTGGAAACAACCCTAATGCCTATCAGTAGCAGAATGAATAAATCAAAAGTGTATTTCACACAACGCAACACGATCTGGCAATGAGAAGCAACAATCTACAACTGCACACAGAATATGGATGAAATTCACAACCATAATGTTGAGCAAAAAAGGTCAAGAACAAAAGAATACATATGACACCCTCCACTTACAGGACAAATAAATCTGAACTGTGAAAGGTCGGGAGAGCGAACACCCCTTTGAGGGGAGGCAATGACTGGCAGGGCAGGAAGAGGGGTGTCTGGGTGCTGGGGAGGCTCTACTTCTTCACCCTGAGTGCCTGGGGGGTTCAGTTAGTGGGAGCTTGCACGCTTTTCTGCAGTTATGAAACACTCCATAAACCGGAGAAATGCCTGGTATTTGTAAGACGAGGGGAGTCATTTCACTCCTCCCTCCCGCTCTTCCTCACTCCACCTCCAAGCCAAATCCTTCCACGTCTCCCCCAAATCGGCAGCAGCTTTGCTCAGCCCTCCCATGGCCACTGCACATGCAGAGGTCTTCCTCACCTGCCTGGGCTCCAGCTCTGCCCCTTTCCCTCCCTCCCCAGAGAGCGCGGTGGAAGAGGGGGCTCATGGGATCCAGGAGCAGCTGCACAAAGCCCCTTAAATTTCTGGAACCGCTCCCAGCAGTCCTGCACCGGAGGACCCTCATATGCTGCTCCTCTCCCCTCCTCGTCCCCATCAGATTGTCCTCCAGCCCCTTGCTTCGGTGTCACCTCCTCACCTTCCAGTCCATCGCTCTGGTACCGTCTTCCAGGTCACCTTTACCCTTCCTCCACAGCACTGTTCCCATGGTGTCACTTGTGCAATTTCTCGTGTGGAGTCTGTTCCCTCTTGTTGCTGGACTGATAACCCTCCTGGGACAAGAACAGGGCTTTTTGTTCTGTCCCTAGCTCCTAGCTCAATGCCTAGCTTAGAGCAGGTGTTCGAAAGTGCTCAGATCAATGTTGAACAAATGAATCTCCAGGCCTACCTGTCATGCAGGTAGTCTCAGGAGAAAGCAAAAGTCGTATCTGGGGGCAAAAGTCCTACTTGTCTGGGGCCGGTACATCTGGGACGTAGTCCTGGTTCTGCCCCCTCACTCGTAGTGTGACCTTGGGAGAGTTGTTCCCCTTTTCTGGACCTCAGTGTGCTCATTTGTGAAATGCCAGGGTAGATGTGAGATGCAGGGCCCTGGGTGGGCTCAAAGAGGTGGATGATATGTATGTGAGTATGCACGCACATTTGTGTGCAGTGGCTGTGTGTGTGCACATCTCCCCTGCAAGAACACCCATACCTTTCAACAGATTTTGTGAAAGGGACTTGTGACCTCAGAAGGCTCAGAACCACTAATCAAGATCATTTTTCAACCCTGGGGCCTGAGGGTTCTGTAACTAGAGAGAGAAGAGGAAGTAATCCAACCCACAGGAGCGAGGGTTGGATTAGACCCCAGAACTTCCATCAGGGCTACAGGACCCCACAACAAGAATGCAAGGGAGACTTCAGCCCCTGGGTCCCTGGAGCCTCCTCAACTCAAGGGGGCTCTGGGCCGGGAGAAGCAAAGACCAAACAAGCTGACCCCAGGGCTGGCTGTGGGAGGGAGGAGGCAGAATCAACCCGGAGCCTCTCCCCCTTTGCTCCCGCCACCATCAGACAAGCACCCACTTGTCCTGGGCTATGGCACAGAGCAAGGAGGCGAGGCTGGCACCTGGAGATGCCCGCCAGGCCCCTTGGCGCCCAGGTCAGAAAAGGTTGGCGGGAATGCTCAGGAGGGGTGCCAAGCCTCACCCTCCCTCCTCCTGAGGCTGGCATGTGGGGCTAGTGGAGGGCTCCAGTGCAGGGAGACTGTGGGAACAGAAGGCTACCAAGAGGTGCAGGGCTCATGGTGCTGGACTCTGACAATCCAGAGCAGGGCTCAGAGACCCGAGAACCAAGGCTGGTGAGGAGGAAGAGCAGATCACAAACTCAGGCCAGAGGAAGACATCGGCAGACAGGGGTCTGGGGGCAAAGGGCACCCTAGTGGAGAGAGGAGAGCCTGTTTGTGAGGATGAGCCAGGCAGCATGGCAGACAAAAAGGGCCATATGGCCTGGGTAGGAGAGAGAGAGCAGCAAGACTGGAAATGGAGTCTGTGACAGGAGCCCAGACTGTGGCTCAGGCGAGAAGCCTGGCCTGTGGAACCCCTGTCAGGAATGGCGGCATGTCTGTAGCAGGGCCGTCAGCGGGAGGGCTCTGGCTGCCAGCCCAGATGCCTGGGTAGCTTCTGAGCCCTGGCTCCTGATGGGGTGAGAGCCCGAGAGATGTTTATCCACCACAAGAACGTGGGTACCACGCCTCCTCCAGCAAGGGCCCAGGTGATAGGCGGCAGCTGCTCTTTCCTGGGCCACTCAGTCTCCTGAGAGCTGCACTGTGAATGGGGCCTGGGCAGGGGGAGAGCAGCCGCCCCCACAGCCACCACTGGAGCCAGAGCCAGGGGACACGGTAGGGCCAGGGTTTTATCCATGCAGATAAAGGACGGAGTGAGTCACAGCAAGCTCTCTCAAGAGGCCACTGGGAAACCAGCTCATCCAAATGCAGACACACACTCGCCCCATCCTGTCTGTGTCCCTGGTGCTGTCACACACTGGCACTCACACAGGCCTCCTCTTCCTTCCCTGCTCTCTTTGATCACTCATTCCAGTGCCCCTGGTCCCTTCCCCCATCTCAGCCTTGACTCCTCTGTCCCTGTCCACCCTCACTTGGCCCAGTAGGCACCCACCCACCTCCTGGGGGTTGGGGACAACACAGGAGGAGGGCTTGCTTTAGGGAGGCAGGGGCCAACAGAGTCCTGAGTCCATAGGCCCAGGTTTTAAGATGAAATTAGAGAGCAAAGAGAGCTTGGGGACAAGTCTGAGAAGCAGGGGAGAACACGAGGAACTAGATGGCCTCAGCCCCAAGGAACTCTACTAAGTCAAAGAGCAGGAGCTGACAACAGAAATCTGGGTCCCCAGGGGTCAGAGGTGCCTCGCAGGGTTCTCTATGCCAACCCCAAAATACCAGGAAAAAAGCTCAAACTCCCACAGGAAAAACCCCAATCAGAACTTCCTGGCCAAGAAAGATCTGAGCTAGGAACAAATAGCGGAGGGAGCCTATGACCTCCTCACCCCCTGGCAACTTGAAGGACAGAGGAGAGGTGGTGAGGCTCTGAGGCCACCAGAGGTGGGACACTGGTGACTCTGGAGAGGCCCTACAGTCTTACAGTCCTGCCTTGTCACCCACATTCCACACTAGGACAAGGAAACAGTAGTCCAGGGTGCCCAGTCCATACCCCAGGCCTCCCCAGGAGCCCCACAGCAGCCACTGTGAGGGCCCGGGCCTGTCCCTCACCATGGTCAGTCACCTGTGTGATGGCAGGGGCTATAGCTCTTGAAGGGTACAGTGTTTGGTTTACAAGTGCCCAGCGCTGTGCCGGGCACTGTGGAATATAACCACAAGTATGCCATAGTCTGTGCCCTGGAGGGACATTCAGCCAGGTGGGGAAAGGGGCAGCTCACAACACACACACATGCACACATGCACCAAGCATCCTAGACACGCTGGCTTCCACGGCTGCCCCTGATCAGGAGGCTGGGATGAGGCCATGGGGTGCATGTGGAGTCACCCTGTCTCGGTGTGCCTCCAGGGCCAGAATGTGAGACCGCAGCTTCACCCAGACCACAGCTCAGTGGACGAATCTGAGGGGTTGCTGCTTTCCCAGTCCCACTAGGAGGAAGCTCAGATTCTTCGGGAAGCCTGGAGCACAGCTAGGCAGTCCCTCTGACCCCAAATTCCCCCTGCTCTGGAGGGAGAAATCCAGGTCTGGCAGGGGTTTTGCAAATGGTTTATCCAGAACAAGTACCTGTGTCCTTGGTCAGTTCCCCACTCAGGGCTCCAGGATTTACCCAAACTGACATGGGGCTCTACCTGTCACCATCCTCCAAGGTCTTTGCGGGGGCTGGAACCCTGCTGGCTCAGAGCCCACCCCCCTCCTGGCCACAGAGCCACCTCTCTCCCCAGCGCCTGCCGGAGATGGGGGCGGGCGCGGGGAGGCGCGTGAGGATTAACCCTTTTCTCCGAGCCCAGCGCTGCCATCCACTCCCTCCCCGGCGGCGGCTCCCAACCCTCCCCTGAGTTGTTTGCCTTTCTGAGTCAGGCCCCACATCACCCTCCTCCCAAGGGCACAAGAGACCCAGGTGAGACCAACAAGGAACTGGCTGCCCCTCCACCCCGTCCCTGGGAAAGCCCGTAATCGCGGACGGGCCGGGAGGGCACTTTCCAGGCTCGGCTCCTTACCTGTCTCAGGTGCCTTGGGCTGTGCGGGCCTCTCCGGACCCGGGCGTCCTTCCCGCCCACCCCGTCCCCGCAGCCTCCTACCTGGAGCAGCGGGCGCCGCCTCTCGGCGAGGGCTGAACCCCGGGGCTCCCGGCACTGTGTCCGCTCGTGGGCCGGGGGGCTCCCCGGGGGCGGGGGGCCGCAGGGGGGCCCGGGCTCCAGCGCCTCGCAGCACACCAGGCTCACGGTGCAGCCCATCTGGTCGGGCGCCCAGAGTGCTCGGGGCGGGGACACGCGCGTCCCGGGAGCTGGCCCGCCCCCAGCCCCGGCGACCGCTCGGCCCAGGGCGGCCGCGACGCCGGGAGGGGAGCGGCGACGCCCCCAGCCCGGCCCCTGCGGAGTCCGCTCCTTCGCCGCCGCCCCGCCAGGAAGCGGGGAGTGCGGGCCAGGCGCGGGGCGGCGACACGGGCGCCGGGACGCAGCCAGTGACGGAGGGAGACCCGAGGGCACGGGGGCGCGGGGAGGGGCGGGGCTGGTCCCGGGACGCGGGCGGCGGACAGGCTGAGTTAGGAGAGCGAGAGACTCGCGGGCGGAGGAGACAAGATGAGCGGAGAGTCAGACACGGGGCCAGTGGGGCAGAGGTGCAGACAGAGCTTCTCCTAGGGGAGCGCGGCAGGGAGGGAGGCGGACAGAAGGCAGGGGCATCGCCGTGTGCCACCCCGCGAGTTCCTGGGGTTTGTGAAACCCGCTCTTGCGCTCTGTTCTGTCCCCCACTACTCCCCGGGCAGCCCAGCCCGGAAAGAGGGGAAAGACCTGTGGCTCCAGGAGAGCTCGGCCAGGCGCTGGGCCACAGCCCCCCGGGGCGACCCCCCACACACTAGACACAGAGTATCCCCAAGTTTCACTTCCCTTCCCTGAGGAGGGGATACCGGGAGGAGGGCACTGGTGATAGCCCTCGTGGGATCCCTGAGCGGGCCATAGTGGAGAGGAGGAGGGAACAGGTGGGACCCTTGTCCTGGGCCACGCTCCAGCCAAGTGAGTGGGAAGACAGCTTGGAAGGAACGGCTGGCGCGCGCCTCAGCCTTTTTGTGCCCTCTGGTGGTGACAAGGAGGAAACACAAGTGATTGAAAGGAAACGAACAGCAGCAATTGCTTGTCGCCATGCATGCATCTTTGGCCAACAGGTGGCCCTGCCCCACGTCACCCATTCTGCCCCAGTGCCCTTGATCCTGCCTCTACCACTTCTCCCTGGCAGGGCTGGCTCCTCCCCCTGCAGGGTGCTGGGCCGGGCCTAAATTACGTCCTAGGCCATAGCTCTGTGCAGGACCCACAGTGGCTGTGGACAGCCTCAGGCTGCAGAGCCCTGTTCTCCAGGCCCAAGCAGCCAGGCCTTCCCGGGTGAGCAGCAGCAGGGGCCCTGGGGCTTGGGGGTGGCTGGGAAGGGGGAGAGAGCCCAGGGCAAAGGAAGGGGGAAGGACTTCACAGAGGATCTAGGCAAGGGGCTAGAGACCCTCAGTCCAATCCCATGGTTTACAGATGAGGAAACCAAAGCCCAAGAAAGGTGAGTGACTTGGCCAAGGATGCACGGTGAGTGAGTAGTTGGCCAGCAAGGGGACCCAGGTCTCTTTACTCCCAACTCCGGGCTCCCGGATGCCAATTCCCCTCCTTCCCTCCCCATCCCCCACCTCCTCCCTCTTCCCTTCTCCCTCTCTCCCCTCGACTTTTCCCCCTTTTACCTTTATCCACTGGGACTGTGTCTGGGAGGTGGAACACCTGGGTTTTCCACCCCATGCCTGGTCTTGACTCCAGGCACAATGTCCTGCTCTGAGCTCCAGGACCCACTGGGAAAGCAGGCCGAGTCCCCTGGGAGAGGGCAGTAGGATTAAAACTAGGTGGCCTTCTCCCTCCTCATACTCCCTGCATCCAGCCCAGACTCTGGGCCCTCACACTACTGCCTCCTTCTCCTTGAGGAACGCACTTTTTCCACTCAGCTGGGGCCCTGGAAAGGATGAATGTAGGTCTCAAGGGTGATGAGCCCTGCTGAGGCTGAGGGCTGTCCATTGGGGGAAGCAGGTGACAGTCCTCTAGTCCAAGTCCCCACGGCACAAACACTGGCCTAAGAACATAGACTCCCTGTGCCCCAGTTCACCTTGTATAAAAGGGAGCCAATAACCTCTTAGGGCTATTGTGGGAATTAAATGAGAGAAGGATGCCAAGCAATGTGCACAGTTCCTGGAACCCAAGGACTGCCCAGTAAGACGCTGTGCCTTTTTCTTCACACACTAGCCTCCTACAGGTGGGTTTTCATGATGCTATCTAACTTGGCTGTGTGACCCTAGATAAGTCATGTTCCTTCTCCAGCTTCTGACTGCTCCTTTGTGTAGGAGATCTGGACAGTTAAACCCAACAGGTCCTTCCTATGTTGCCTTCAAAGTCACAGGGACTTGCATCATTTCCCATACCTATGGCAAAAGAAGGGGCCACCCTCAAGGTCACCAGGGACCTGAAAGGTGAGTGTGACCCGAGAGAGTCACGGGAGAAGCAAGGGGACTCAGAAACATCTCCTTCAGAGGTCTCACTCCCTGGTGTCCACTGTCTACCATCATCCCTGCAGCCGCGGTCTCTGCCATCCTCCAGGGCTATGGGGATGGGAAGGGGCCAGTAACGGATGCCAGTGCTGAGCTGCACAGACTCTGCGGCTGCCTGGAGCTTCTGCTGCAGGTGGGACCAACCAACCCCCACCCTCCCCCAGCCGCCTTCCCTCCCCTCCCCCATCCTCCCCCCCCCAAGCCTCCCTCTTCCTATCCTCTCCCCTACACTCTCCGAGGCTTGGATAACCAGGAGGGCTTTCCCAGATACAAGGGAAGACGGCTGCTTCCCTTGGGTGATGTGCACCACCTCACCTACCTCAGTCAGCAAGCCCTCTCTGGTATCTGACCTCACTGCTGGAAGCTGTCACTGCAGCCTGGGAAAGGAAGTGGGGACTAGGTATGGGGATGGCCACCTTGCTTTGGAAACTAAATCTTCAGAGGTATGGATGTCCCAGAGCTGGTGCTCCTTGTACTGGTTACAGCCCAAATCATAATTATCACTAGCTTTTTCATGAGGATTTATTATGTGCCAGACTAAGTCCTTTGTTTGCCCCATTTTATTTAGTCCTCGTTCTTTTTTTTTTTAGACAGGATCTCACTGTGTAGTCCAGGCTTGTCTTGAACTCACTATGTAGCCCAGGCTGGCCTCAAACTCACACCAATCCCCCTCCCTCAGTCTCTCAAGTGCTGGGATTACAGGCATGCACCACTGCTCCCGGCTTAATCCTCATTCTAACTCTGTGAGGTGCTCGATGACCCTCCCTGTGTGCACACAAACATCCTTCATACTTCTCTGACATCATCACACGTTAATACTACACATCTGCTGCTCTCCAGCTGTACTGTCCTTGATCTTCCTGGAGTGCACCAGGCATGCGCCTGCCTCTGGGCCTTTGCACTCGCCATTCTCTCTGCTTGGAATGTTATTTCCCCAGAAATTTGCATGGCACAAGTTCCCCAATTTTCTTCCAGCATTTTCTTCCAATCTGGAGGATTTCTGTGGTTGCCCTAATCTAAATTTTCAACATACAACATACACAACACACACAGACACGCACAAACACACACACACACACACACTTTCTATTGTCTTTCCTTGCTTCCATTTTTCTCCAAAGCTGTCATCACCATCTAATACACTGAATGCTGTACTTATTTCATCTGTTCATTGTCTTTGCTCCCTACCAAGAAGCAAGCTCTATGATGTCCCCAGGTTTGCTGCGTCCCCAGGCTTGAAACAGGGCCTGGCACCTAGTAAGTGCCCAGTAAGTGTTTCTGTGTGCACTGAGGCTCAGGGAGACCAAGCATCTTGCTCCTGGTCACACATCCAGTAAGCGCAGAGCCAGCGCTGAGACTGGGTCTGTCCGCTGGAGACCTCTCCTTTCCCGTGTGCCTGCTCAGCATGCTGGGATGTGAAGTGGTCTCTAGGAGGAAGCATTTCTACCGTTCCTCTCCCTCGTCTTGGCCCAGTTTGAGCAGAAGGAACAGAAGAGCTTCCTGGGGCCTCGGAAGGATTACTGGGACTTCCTCTGCACCGCCCTGCGGCGGCAACGAGGGGACTCAGAGCAAATCCACATCATCTCCTCGCAGGACAAGAAGGTAGCTGTGGCCAAGCAGGGAAGCAAAATGGCGTCCTGGGACCAGGCCCTTGATGGGAAGGGAGGGGCACATGTAGGTGCTGACTTCCTGACGTCCCTTTCTGGCCCACCCTGCTCCCCTGGCTGTGACCCTTACCTGGTCCTCCCCTCTCACTGGCCCTGCCCTCAGCCACCCTTTTTCTCCCTTCAAGTCCCCCAAACCCTTTCTCATCAATTGGCCCATTGTTTCCATCTGCTCTGTCCTAATACTGCCCCCTCTTTGGTTCCCTGTGCACTCTGTAGCTGAAGACCTCTCTGGGCAAAGGCCGTGCCTTCCTCCGCTCCTGCCTGGTCCGAGGGCAGCTGGCTGAGTCCCTGCAGCTCTGCCTCCTGAGCCCAGAGCTCACCAGGTGGGAGTTCGGGTCATCCTCCCAAGACCCCATCTGAGCCCATGTTGCCCCTCCACCATGGTGGCTCAGCCTCAAGGATGGTGAAATGAGAGTCAGAAGGGAAAGTCGGGCAGAAAGGGCAGAAGAAGGTCAGAACCAGGTGCAGGCAACATGATAGTGCCAGGGACCCCTGCACCCAAAGCCATACCCCACCTGGGGAAGGTCTGTACAATACACAGTGGAGGCTGATTCTCAGGGATTGGGGGTGGCCATAGCACCTGGGTCAAAGCCGTCGCTGTTCACACAGGGAATGGTATGGCCCCCGGAGCCCTCTGTTGTGCCTCGAACTCCAGGAAGACATTCTGGACTCTCTCTATGCTCTTAATGGAGTGGCCTTCGACTTGGACCTGCAGCGGCCGGACCTGGATGGGGCCTGGCCCATGTTCTCAGAGTGAGGGGGTGCAGTGCTCCCCCGCTCCCATGGTCCCCTCGAATCCCAAGCAAGCGCTAAGCTCTCAGCTTCCAGGCCCATCCATTTCTTCCTCCCTTCTGCTCCCTGACCTTGATTCTCTACTTCCCTAGCCTTGTTTCCCCCCTGTAATATCATGCCGCATAGAATACAGCCACTTGAGACTGGCTGAATGGTTGGCGTGGAGGGTTAGAAGGATGAATGGGTGGGCCGGGGATTTAGCTCAGTGGTTCCGCTGCCTGCCTCGAAAGCGCAAGGTCCCAAGTTCGATCCCTGGTACCAAAAAGAAGGATGAATGGGTGGTGGGATGTTGGGATGGGATGGGTGGGTGGGATAGATCAGTGGTGGAGAACCTGGAGCACACGTATTATTGTGTTTGTCTTTTAAGACAAAGGATGTTAATGTAAAGTTGTTTTTCTAAATTAAAACCTCAGTATTCAGGTTTAATTATAGTGTTGATACTTCATGGTAATTAGTGGCTTTTGGGTTGCAGTTTGGCACTTGGTCTCTAAAAGGTTTGTCATCCCTGGGATGGATGGATGGATGGATGGATGGATGGATCAAGATGGGAGAGCAGGAAGGCCAGAAAGGTGGTGGGATGAGTGGGGATGATTGGAATGACCATTTTCCTTCTGAGCAAGCCCACCACTGCAGAGATGCTCAGGGTCCCCTCACCCTCTCATTTCCAGGTCCCAGTGTTCCAATTCTAGCCAGATCCAAGGAAGAAGAAGAAAGACCAAAGAGTCTCCAAAGAAGGTACTTCTGCCTTTTCAATTGTATTGCCTCTTGGCCACCTGATTGGGACACCCAGATCGAGCAGTAACTGGGCCTCCCCCTCTGTGTACAGAGAGCCCTAGCAGGATTGAGAAAGAAGCCAGTGTGTGGGCCAGGGCACTGGCAGTGCAAGGAGGAAAGAACTCATGTTTCTGGGGTAGTAGCAATGTTGGGTAAGGGAAGGAAGCAATCTGCAGGAGTTACTGGGATCCCAGGAGGAGGCAGAGCAGGGAAGTGACTAGAAGCTTGCGGGAAACAGACCAGGGGTACCATCTCCACAGAGGCCCCTGCCTGGACAGTTCAGGGGGTGACTGAACCGCCAGATGCCTGACTGGAAGCCCCCACCTTACTCATCAGGTGGCAGTTACCTGTCCTACTTCATAGGGTGATCGAGAGGATGACTTGGGACCACCTGTGTGCAGCACAGTGCAAGGGTCTGGCCAGATGCGCACTGGGAGGCAGCTTGTGGGTACCATCATCACTGTTACTACCATCCCACAAGTGCACTCTGTGCACAGACCCCACGAGCTTCCAGCAATAGTACTGCTGGGACTCAAGTCTCTGACCCGAAGGAGTTCAAAGTCTGCTCAGGGAGACAGATCCTAGAGGAGCCATTGCAATACATGTAAAGTGTGCAGCCAGCCTTCTGCATCTGTGGGCTCTACATCCACAGATTCAACCAACTGCAGAGAGAAAATATTTGGAAGAAAAATAATTGTATCTGTACTGAATGTTTGCAGACTTTTTTCTTGTCATTATTTCTTAAACCGTACAGTATAATAACTATTTACATAACATGTAAATTGTATAAGGTATTATAAGTAATTTGGAGATTATTTAAATGAGATGATTGCATAGGTAATATGTGAATAGTGTGGCATTTTATTTAGGGACTTGAGCATCCATGGATTTTGGTATCTGCTTGGATTGTTGGCCAGTCTCCTTGGGTACCAGGGGACATCTGTCATAATGCAAACCAGGGTGAAGGAACATGAAAACAAAGAAGGCTTCCTGAGAGAGGTCACTCAACTGGGTGTCTGAGTTTTCATCACAATTCTACAAACCAAGTATTGTTCCTATTTTGCAAATGAGAAAGCTGAGACACAAAGTTGAGATCATGAGGAGGATTAAAGGAGAAGGGTAGGAGGGACTTAGGGAGCATAAGATCAAAGCAGAAGAGCCAAGTGTAGGAGGGAGAAGGACATTGAAACACCCTGCTGTTCCCTCACCACATCAAAACTGGGATCTTGGATCACTTCAGGTGTTGCAAGTTATTTCTGGTCTGATATATCCAAATTTTCATATATTTAGCAAGCCCGGGAGGGCCTGGAAATGCATATATTTAGCAAGCCTGTTGGATTAAGGCTGTGGTCTCTCCAGTGCACCAGGTCAGGAACTGATGCTGAGTTGACATCTCTGCAGATCTCAGCAGCATCCAGAGGCCCCAGAGGGGTCCAGCTGGAGGACCCACACACCAGTCAAGCTGGCTGCCTTCGAAATGCAACCAGAGAAGACGAACTGGTTGGACTCTCCAAGACCCAGCAACACATGCATCTTCCTTCCTTCTTGGAAAAGAAGAGAGAAGATTCCAGGAGCCTTGGTTCCCCCCAGAGCACTTGGGAACCAAAGGAGGATCTTCAACTAGACCAGGAAGAGAGAGCCCCAAGGAGTAGGAGATTCTTGGATAACTCAACAGCCAGCATCCAGCAACAGACGGAGGGAGCCAAGGAGGCCCAGAAGGAAAAGCCTGGAGTGAAGGCTAAAGACAGAGGGGTTCTTCCAGGTCCAGAGGTTCAGAGAACAGAGGGGGCTGATAGAGAAGAGGCAGAGCAGGATGAAAGCCAGTATCTGCTGGCCTCCAGTCCCAGAGGAAAGATGGAGGAAGCAACATCAGGGAGCAGGCAAAGGTGGGAGGTGCCTAGCATTCTGGGGGGGTCCTGGGTTCTCCAGGACCTGGGAACAAGGGAAGTCACCATCAAAGAACAGCCACAAGAACAAACAGAAGTGACTGGTGTTGCCAGGAAAGAGGAGCAAGCAGAGGTGCCCTTGCAGGAAGTGGTCAAGGTGAGAGAGAGCTGCTGCACCCCATACCTGTCTGTTCTCCCTTCTCTAACCTGGCTCACAGGTGGGGGTACCCAATGGTAGCCTGGGGACCCTTCCAGCCACAGATCAACCTTGACTGCTCCACCCAGGATGAAGATTTAGGGATACCTCTTGAAAGCTGTGCATTCTTCAGCTCACCACAGTTCCCCTCCTCCCTGAGTCTCACACTAGACACATTTGTCCCTCACACCTCCTGCCTGGCCCTGTCAGCATTTGAGTTTGAGGTCCCATCCCAACAGTTCTTCAGGGCAGTCACTTGTTCTCCTGTGTCCCTCATCATGGCAGGTGTCTTCCCAATCTCTGAGTTTCACTGCTGCAGACCCCACTTTGTCACTCTTGTAGATGATTGTCCCAGAGGTCACCCAGGATTGTTACCAACCCTTCCTTCAACCTCCTCCCTAGCCAGTCTTCCAGCTCCTGGAGCTTTCTAACCTCCATCCTTCAGTGAAGCAGGAAATGGTGGCCCCAGTAGGGCAAGCCAGGTACCCAGCTCCCAGTGCTGTCCTCACTCCTGCCTCCACTCAAGGGCATGGCCTAGGAACTCAAAGAATATTCATCAGTCAGCCTCAGGCCTGGGTTCTGTGCTCTCCTCATTCAGCTTACCCTCCCCCTTCCACCCCCAGAGCCTCAGACTTGGACTCCAGAAGGCCAAGGAGCAGGCCCACTCCCAGGAGCAGCTGCTGAGAGCGAGAGATGGCGAACTGCAGGCGCTTCAGGAACAGCTCCACAGGTAACCTTGGCAATGCCCGCAGGGCGACTCTGCTCTCAGGTTGGCCAGCAAGACTTTCTGAGCACTACTGAGTACTAGGCCTTGTGCTGGGCACAGCTCCAGGGTGCTGAGGCCAACACGATCCTGGGCAATGTTTCTGCCAACACCCTGCCCTCCCTTCACTACCCCCTCCAGTAGTCCCAGGAGAGGTCCCTGCACCCTGCTCACCTTCCCTCCCATGCTCACCCTTGGCTCTTTCTGCTGCCTCTTTTGGGCTGCTCTTCCATCTTTTCAGTCTGCTCTGCCCCCTTCCCCCACCCCATCCCCCAGTTTCTTTCTATCTCTTCTTTTACTCTCTCATTTTCTTGTTGCCTATTAAATCATCTCTCTTTCTCACCCCCTGATAATCCTAACCATGGCTGCCATTTACTATGTCCCCCGCACTGTCGTAGGTGCTTCCTCCCAGCAACTTTATCAGATAGATTCTGCAAGAATCCCATTTTATAGATGAGCAAACTGAGGCTCAAAGATTTTACACGCTTCACCAATGTGAGCCAGTTAGCAGAGGAGCGAGCTCCAAACCCTGCAGCTGACTCCAGAGTGAGGGCCTCTGTCAATGCCCCTCGGCCAGTTTGCTGAGGACTGTCGTCCCCCGTCGGTTCCAGCCTCCCATGCATGTCCACCTCCACATATGTGCCAGTCTCTTCTGTGAAATGGCACAAGGCTGGCACAAGCCTACTGACATCCTCCTATAATCTTTAAATCATCTCTAGATTATTTATTTATAATACCCAATGCAATGTAAATGCTATGTAAAGAGTCACTATACTGTTTTTTCAGGAAATAATGACCAAAAACGTCCATACATGCTCAAAGCATTTTTGATCCATGGTGGGTTAACTCCACAGATACAGAGCCCATGCACACAGGGAGCCGACAGTATTTCACACTCTCTCTTCCCTAGCCAGCAGCTTCCCATCATCACCTTGCCCTCAAGGCCAAGAGAGAGCTGTCTAAGCTTCTCCCTCAGTCTCTCCATGTCTCCATTTCTCCTTCATAATGTATTTTTAAAAATATCTCCACCATGCAGAGATCCTCCTGGGTGTGAGTCAGTCCCTGTGCCTCTCTCCTCTGGTCTCTGTGCACCTGCCTTTGTCTCTTCCACATGGCTTACGGGTGTCAGGGGCACCGGTCCAACCCCCAGCACAGGCTCAGTCACTGGGAATCACTGGGAAGTCTCTTAATTGTCTGCCTAACAGCTTTGAGACCAGCCCAGGAGGCCAGAAACCCAGAGACCAACCCGGGGCTCTTCCTACTGCAAACTCAGCTGCGCCTGTCATCTTAGTCAGCAAATATTCCCATGATTCAGGTCTCAAATAAACAGTGGAGCCTTGGCCATTCAAGAGCCTTCTGTGGGCTCACAGAAGGCTGAGGGTAGCAACTGGGAGGTTCCTGGGGGACTTCCCAGTCCCAAGCTACTCCCTGCCACTGGGGTCCCTATTTCACAGAGCACTGTCAGTCTGACACCTGTTGCTTCTTCATTCTACAAACACTCTGAGCACCCACTCTGAATCAGGCCGGTTGAGTACCAGAAATACTGTTTTGGACAAATTGCAAATTTCCTGCCCTTGCAGAGCTGACATCTAGTGAAGAAGGCAGGCAGAAAATATGGCAAGCAAGTGAAATACATGTAGAGGGCCCGATGGGGATACATTCTCAGGAGGAAAAAATAAAGCAAGGAATGGAAATGAGATGTGTAAATGGTGATATTTGAAATAAGGTGGCCTAGCCAGGATAGGTCTCTCTGGAAAGGGATGTTTGCATAAAGACATGAAGGAAGTGAGGAGCGTGATGTTTGGATGTAGGATGGAAAGGTGCTGTGAGCAGAGGGAACAGCAAGAACAACAGCCCTGAGGTGGAAAAGTAAGGGCACAGTGGTTCTAGGGACATTAAAGAGGCCCCTCAGACCCCAGGGGTTGAAGAATGGAGGGGCTGTGAAAAGGTCTGGTGGACAGTCGGGACTCAGGAGAGCCTAATAGGTCCTTAGAATGACCTTGGCTTTGACTCAGAGTAGTATGGGAGGCATTGAGCATTCTAAGCAGAGGAGACGTGTGGAATGACTTTTTTAATTATCAAAAATATATTTATATGCTTTTGAAAAATTTTAACAATGCATTGGTTTTTAGTATGTTCATGGAGTTGTACAATACCAATGCAAGCAATTTTAGAATATTTTGTCACCTCCCAAAGAAACGTTATACTCATTAGCATCACGCCCTACTTTGTGTCTGTGGATCTGCCCCACTCCAGACTGACACCTGTCCTAAAGCCCATGGAGCTGGACTGTAGGCAGGCAAGACTGGGCACGGGCAGACCACCAGGTGCTGCTGCCGCTGGGTAGGAGACAGCATAGCTGCTCGACCTGGGCTGTTGGTGAAGGAGGGGAAGCAGCTGCGCACTCTGGATACATTCTCCAGCAGAGCTTCCTGGGAGCTGGGATGTGGGGGCTGAGAGAAGAAGAGAAGGCAAGGATGACTCTGAGTCTCTCCACCGACCAGCAGAAAGCTAGAGTCACCATTAACTGAGGTGAGGAGGCTGGGATAGGCAGGGGTGTAGGGAAGCCTGGCTTCGAAAGGGTGGCATTCAGGATATCTGTCAGATCCAGTTGGCCATTGGGCAGGTTGGGTGTGGTAATCAGAGGGAAGCGCCAGCCGGGTGATACTGGAGAGTCCTCAGAGTGTGGACGACTGTAACAGCAGCTCCTGAGCCTGGGAGAACATATGCTGCCCTGTCCCGGGGTCTGCAGAGCCAAAGACAGAGCTCATTGCTGAGCAAAGGGCCAAGGGCATCAGGCTGGCGATGGGAGTCTCACTGCCAGCCAACAGAAGGGCCTCAGGGCTGGTTCATTGAGTCAACTGTGTTTATTGAGCCTCCACGGCTGTGAGTGGGTGGGTGCAAGTGCACAACAGTGAATAAAATCAGTGAAGTCTGTTCTGAAAGACCTAGGGATTCAGACAGGAAACAAACAAAAATACAATGTCAGGTACCAATAGATGCTGTGGGAAAAAATTAAAACCAAAGATGGAGATAAGGAAAGATACAGTTGTGGTTCAGATTTGGGGTCAAGGAGGCCATCTCGGAGGAGGTGACAGGTAGGCACAAACCCCAGCCATGAGAGACCAGACTGTGCCCACATCTAGGAGGGAGTTCTACAGGCAAGGACCATGGCAATGCAAAGGCCCTGGGAACATGTGCTAGGGGACAGGGAGGGTGGCTGGAGCAGAGGACAGAGGGGCAGCTGATAGCTAGGGGCTTGGAAGTCCCAAGTGAGGCCCTGGATTATGCCCTGGCCATAAAAGCCTAGGTTGGGGTTTAGAGCAGGGATGTTTAAAAGGTCAGAACCAGACACGGTGGTACACACATGCAATCACAGCACTCTCAGAGGCTGAGTCAGGAGGATCACGAGTTCAAGCCCAGCCTAGGTAACCCATCGACTTGATAAGACCTTGTCTCAAAAAATGTTAAAAAGGGCTGGGGATATAGCTCAGTGCTAAAGCCCTGGGTTCAATCCCCAGCAATGGGAGGGGGGGAGGTGTTAGATTAAAAGCTGAGGATAGCTCAGTAGCAGAGCACTTACCTAGCATGCATGAGGCCCAGGGATTCAATCCCCAGGATCACAAAAAATAAAATGAAACAAAAGGATAAGTCTAAGGTGGGTGTAGCAGAAGCCCCCACATGCAGAGCCTAGGCTAGACACAGAGGCAGCGACAGGGAGACCCCAAGCAGCAGGCCTAGGGCAGACCAGCAGGCTGTGAGAGTGGACTTGGCACTTCAAGGTTTTGGGGCTGTGGGCCCCTGGGACAGTGGCTCCCATCCTGGGCTGTATTGTTCGAGGAGAGGGTGGAATTCCTAAAAAATTCCTCCTGGCTCAGGGCTCTGGGGAGCCATCTCTCCAAGCAAGTGGCTTTCCTCTGCCCTCTGAGTAAGACCTCAAAAGCAAAGGAGGTTAGAAAAGATGTAAGCTGAAGGGATCCCCAGGAAAGGGAAGTAGGTGGACATCACATCTCCCTCAGCCCTTCGAAGGCCACAGAGAGCCAGCTCTCCTAAACTGCAGACCTTTACATGTGCCTGTCTTTGGCTCCAAAAGGCTGGCTTTTTGCCTTATAGGTCTGCTTCAATGTCAGCTTGTCTGAGAAGCCTTCCCTGAGACCCCCTCTAGTCTCTGTCTTGGACCTTCATTGATCTCTGTCGCAACACTTAATTATTTTATTGGTCACTCACTTGTTTTGACTGATTCACCAAAAGTGGTAACTTCCACAGGTACTGTGGGAACTGCTCCATTCCTGGCAGTCATTGACACATGTTACATACCTGATAAGTATTTCCTTCCACCCTAGAGACACACACAGTGGTCACATGAAGACCCAGGATCTCTGAGCAAGTAAACTGGCTCAGGAGAATCAGTGTCAGCAGCTAGGAGACAAGGAGACTGAACATTAGAAGAGTCATTAAAAGTCAAAAATTGGCTTGATTCAGGCCCGAGCACCAGGTACAGTGGCAACTTATTGGAATTTCAGTGGCTGTTGTCCATTTGATTTCATGACCCACCCAACATTCCTTCTTGCAGCTCACTAAATGGCAGTGGCTTAAAAATTAATGAATAGTTCTATCATTGTTAAGACCCTTTCAAACCTTTCCCCTTGCAGTACACTGAAGCCAGGGGCATGCACATGCACACACACACACAGCCACAGGAGCATGCATGCTGAGAGTGTGAGACCTTCACCAGCATCCACTCACATCCGGGCACCCTCCTGACAGAGCCACATAGCCAGTGGCTGGGACCTTGGGCTGGGACCTTTTCATTTCCAATTCAGTAGACTTCTAGAAAACCACTAAGGGCAAAAAGGAAAGGCAAGAATAGAGCTGCGGAAGTTCCAGGCCCAAAACTGAAATAGAAATATGGGAAAGGCATATTTCTACCATCACTTTTTAAATTGAAAAATACTACAACATAACTTTTTAAAATATTTTAAACAAAAATCACATCAAATCCTACACTGCTCCCCTCCACACAAAATTGCTTCCAGCTGGGTGCAGTCTATCCAACCTGGATAGACTAACCTGGAAACGGCTGCTTCCCTTAGAGAGCTGCCATGGTTATGAATGGTTATCTTTCAAGAAAATTACATTTTTTAAATGGAAATGTTAATTAAAAAGAAAGAAAGTGAAGATGGCAATGTTGGTTAGTCCCCTCTATAGGAACACTCCAGGCAAGGCCCAGTTTTCATTTCTCTAAACAATTACTGAAGAGTTGCCTGTAGGTGTTAGATGACACACAGTGCTCCATTTGGTGTGTGTGTGTGCGTGTGTGTGTGTGTGTGTGTGTGGACTTCAGTTGCAGGATAGCACTGCCATCTTCTCCTCAGGGCTCTAGAGGCCCAAATGCTCAGCTTCCCCCCTCAGAACTGAGTCTCTCTTCTGTGCCCAGGTGTGAGGAGGAGAGAGACCAGCTGAGGGCAGAGCTGGGGCAGAAGCAACAGGAGGCCAGGAGGAGGAAGGCCATGTACGAGGAGGAGCTTGGAGAACAGCGGGACCTGATCCAGGCCATGAAGAGGAGGATGCTGGAACTGATTCAGTAAGGACAGGGACGGGGAACTGCAAATGACAAGGGATAGAGAGGCCCAGCATGAAAATTTGACTCCACAACAACTTTCAAGCAGGGTTCTAGATCTTTCGTGTATGCTAACTCATTTTCTTATTTAAGCCACCCCTTGCTGTTGTCCCCATTTTACAGATGAGGAAACTGAGGGTCAGAGAGGCTGACTTGGTCACCAAGGGCACAAGGCATATAAATTGCAGAATTGTCTGGCAGTAGTGCATATCCTCACCCCAGGCTGCCTCCACATACACACATGCATACCTCCTAAGGTTAGGAGAGGAGATAGGAATTCCTAGGTTGAGAAGGAATTGGAAAGAGGAGAAGAAAACCACAGGGGTTAACCAAGAGGTAATCGTACATCCTACACCTGCCTGCCCACTGGCCTCCCTCAGATGCCTGCGCCTGCTCACCAGGGTCAGATCCAAGCCACTAAGCTCTCTGAGAGATGGACACAGCTTCTACCCCTCAGTCTGATATGGAGACGATTCACATATATGTTATCCTTTCATGTAGCTGAGGAAACAGGAGCCCATTGGGCTCAGAGTCCATTAAAATTAGAAGGTCGATGGGAGGTCACCCAGAATTAAGTCTTCGTCCACAAAATCTAAATATTAAAGATGAGAAAAGGGACAGATCAACTTGGAAAGGATGAACAAAGACTTTAAGGAATGAAATCCTCTAAGAAACTAACTGTCCATTGAGTAGGAGGAAGGGAGATATAAAAAGTCAACTATTTCACAAAAAAATTAAGGTAGCTCACAATAAAGGACACATGTGAGATCATTAAGAAAAAACAGATTAAACAGAAAATATAATGGAAGACAAAAATATATTCTACTCCAAAGTGTTAAGATTAGGATTAGTGTTAAAACTCAACTCCAAACATCTTGGCAGCAGTCAAAAAGGGAGGACAGAGTGTTACCCAAACCCCACTATCCACTCAAAGGAATATACTAGCTCATCAGAAGAACATATGTTTTTTCCTGGAACTAAAAAAATTAATCACAAGTCCTCAGGCAAAGAACTCAAAGCCATAAAATACAATGTCCCTAGCAGAAACTTAATGGAAGCTATGACCCTTAGCCAAAAGAAGAAGGGGAGGGAGCCACAGAGGTTTGGTTCTGTGTCAAGATGGTGGACTAGGACAGGCCTGTCATCCCAGCACTCTGGGATATTAAGACAGGAGGATCACAAGTTTGAGCTCAGCCTAGCAACTCAGCAACTTAGAGACACCTGTCTCAAAATAAATAAAAATAAAAGGGCTGGGGATGCATCTCAGGGCAGGTCTCGGTTTAATCCCCAGTATTGTGCACACACACACACACACACACACACACACACACACACAGACACACACACACACACAGACCGTGGACTGAACACACCTCATCCATTCTCCACCCTAAGATCTCACTAAATGGTTGTAAAAGAATAAAACCTCCAACAAGAGAGAAAAGTGGAGAAGCCAACCACAGAGGAGAGTTGGGTTACTTTCCAGATACTGTATGAAGCCCAAGTTAGACCTTCAAGACCCAGAGACCCCAGGACACAGATGGTAAAGGAAAATGAGTGATAAAGTCAATAACAAGTCTACACTCCTTGCCTTCTGCATGCCTTTCCACCTGCAGAATATCCAGCAGCCAGGGCCTGTCTCCCAGGCAAATAATCAAAAGTTCCTCTTTAAAAAAATGTATATATCCCAAGTAGAAGACCAGCTTGACCCAGCATGGGGTGGGTAGGAGTCTGGTATACCATGTACCTCCCTGTCAAGTGACCCTTACAGAGAAACCATTTGTTGATATCCCTGTCCATTACCTGGAGCTCCAACCAATTTCTGTGGCCTGTTTCTTAAACATGAAATAGCAACCAAGATCCTTAGACATTTGAGAGCCAAGACCATAAAAGGGACAGATGAAAATAAACAGACAAATGAGAACAACAAACATGTATCTCCTATGAAACAGGAAGCTGGGAAAACAACTGTTAAAAATGAGAAGTGTTCTTGGAAATTAAAAATGTTTGCTGAATTTTTAAGAAATTCACTAAGTATTGGAAGAGGAAGATGAGGCAAGCTATGAGAAAGCAGAATAAAAGGTACAGAGATGGAAGTTATGAGAGAAACAGAAACATAATCAGTGTAGGGGTTCCAATATCCTCCCTGACAGACATTCTCCTAAAAGGACAAAATAAAATGAAGATGATCAAATAAAATATGACAAAGATAAAAATACAAAAGAGTTACTGGTCCTGATGGACAGAGATTTCAGATTTTAATATTATACTAAGTGATTGGCACAATAAATGAAAAAGCAAAACAAACAATACCCCACCTGGATATAACACTGGGATTTCAATAAAATGAAGATAAAGAAAATATTTTCAGACTCTCAAAAGGAAAATACAGGCCACCTATAAATGAAGTAGAACCCAATACTTGTCAAGGATCTATGATGTAGTAATACTTTTCCAGTTCTGCGAAAAGAAAAGTTCTGAGAAAAGCCTTTGCCCTAGAATTTTGTGTCCAGCCAAAGCATGAATTTTAAGTGGGAAAAGTAATGAAGAAAGACATCTATGAGACAGACAGATCTCAGAAATCTTATCTCCCACACTGCCTTTCTTAGGAAGTTATTTGTGGATGTGCCCCAGAAAAACAAGGAAGTAAGCCAAGGAAAGAAGATATGGAATTCAGGAAACAATAGCTCTATCTAGGAGGGAAGAAAAGGGAATTCCCAAGATGACAAATGGGCAGCAAGCCCAGGGACCAGTCAGTCTAGACTGTAAAAGAGGAATCTAGAGCTCAGGAAGAAGAAGGTCTCTGGGGAAAAGGAGAATCAACAGAATACTTGACACGATGAAGAATTTGGAGACAAATAATATGTTAAAGGCAAGTAATACAAAGTAAAGGAAAGCAATTAGAAACTCGCAGAAAAACAAAAGCCTTTCAAGAAGGGAACTATTATAGAACACAACTTAGCTCTTTGGGAAGATAGATAGATAGATAGATCTCTATATATAGATATATATATTAAATTCATTTGGGGATTTTTCCCCCATTTTTTTTGTAGTGCTGGGGATCAATCCTAGGGCCTCACGCATGCTAGGCAACCACTCTACCACTAAGCTATACCTTCCACCCCTTGATTTTTTTCAATGTAAGACTCAACCTAAAGACAAAGCATAGAGATAATTATAATTATAGAAATAGACCATGAATATTACCACCTGAACAATCCAGAAGTATGTGTAGCAGGTGCAAATAAAATATTCTGTGAAGATGGAAATGTTCTGTATTTGTGCTTATGTGTACAGACTGAGCACTTGAAACACTAAGCTGGGGCAACTGAGGAACTGAAGTTTTCATTGTATTTAATTTGAATTCATTTATATTAGAATAGAGGCATGTGGCAAGTAGCTGCCATATTGGATGCTTCAGGAGTGGATGGCAAGTTAGCAAGAGGAGGAAGGAGAGCTTTAGGGAAGAGATACTGGCAACATGATATTACAGAATGGGAGTCAAATCTTTCCTATAATTGGTAGAATGAAAAATAAATATGTGTGCATATTTTGTGAAATTACAGTGGTAACCAGTAGAGGAACCAAAAAGAGCTTTCACTACACTGAGAGGAAAGAAGAGAAGTTGATGAAGATTTTTTTAAAAAGCTAAATCCCCTACTATCAAAGGAAGGAGCACCAAAGAAAATGTTCTCTACTGAGGCAGGGATATGAGCATATTAGTTAAATATGAAAGTGATACCAAGGAAAAAAAGCAAAAAAAAGTAAGAAATGGTTTGTCACTGAAAACTGGAAGGAGTTTGGTATAAGCCATTCTGTGCTGAGTTTTAAATTATGCATGTGTTTTATTTTTGCCAAAAATTTAAAACAGCCTATATTCCTAAAACCACCCCACCCACCCCACCCCCGCACTACAGGGGATGGAACTCAGGACCTTGCGCTTGCACAGCACCACTGAGCTAAATCCCTGGCCCCCTAAATATCCTTTTTAAAAAAATGTGATGATAGTTTTGCAAGGGCATAAACAAATAAGCACAAAGCAGTCTGAGTACCAAATAAAAGATAACAGGCCAATTGTGTTATCAGCCTCTGGAGCAAGAACCTGAGGCTTCTAAGCCTGGGGGCATGGTGCTTTGGAGGGGAGAACAGGTTCTTAACAATGGGCAGAATTGTTGGGCTAGGGGAGCTGAGTGTCACCATGCTCCTTCCCAAAGGCTAACGACTATCTGTGGGGTGTGTGTCTCTCTTCATTTCTCTTTCTCCCTCCTGGGTCTCTTTATGTCTCTCATCTGTCTCTGTCTCTCCCTGATTACATCTCTGTTCCTCTGTCTCTACCTCTCGTTCTCTTTCTCTCCATCTGCATTTGTGTCTCTACGTGCTTCTCTGTGTGTCTCTGTCTCCCTCTTCTACTCTGCAATCCCATTCTCTCTCTCTCTGTCTCTCTCCCTCTCTCTCTCTCCTCTGCTCCTTCTCCATTTCTGAGTGTCTGTCTTGCTGCTCCTCTGTCCTGGTGCCTGTCTCATTTTGTCTCTGCGTATACCTCTGTGTGCCTCCCTGTCATCTCTCCCTCCATATCTCTCTTCCTTTCATTGCCTCCATGTTTCTCTCTCTGCTCCCCTCGACCTCCTGGTCTCTGTGTGGGTCTGCTTCTGCCCATCCCCTAGGGAGAAGGACCGCCAGTGGCAGAGGCTCCAGCAGCTCTCCTGCTTGGTCCCTAGCTGCTGCATTGGCTGTAGCAAGGTCTTCGGCCGACTGTCCCGGAAGTACCCATGCAGGTAATGGAAAGGTACAGACTCCTTCCTCTGGGCCAGCCCACAGCTCCCTGCCTGCCCCAGAGAAAGAAGGAACAGAGAAATTGGGCATTTATAAAAGGCTATTTCTGCTAGCCACTCTGGCTTGATGTCTGGCTTTCAACACTAAGGAGAGTGTTGAACCAGACAGTGGGAAGAGGCAGAGAAGGCTGGGGTCTGGGAGCTGGGGTTGTGTAACTTTCCAAGAATAGACAACTGAGCTCTTGGTTAGGAAAACACAGAGAGAGCTGCTGTCCTCGCCTTCCTCTGCTGTCATGGTGGCAGGATGAGCAACAGGAGGAAATAGGCCATCAGGAGAACCTACCATTTGGAGATAGAGGCTCTCAGAGGTCTAAGGCATCAGGAAAGGGGACAGACCATGGGCCATCCCACTAGGAGATTAGAAATGACAGATGGACTCAAAGATGCTGGAACTCATGACTCCCAGCACTAATTTAAGCTCTCCCCAGTGAGCTGCAGAAACCACTAGGCTTCCCTACCTCTGGCCTCCAGGCGCTGTGGAGGCCTGGTCTGCCATGCCTGCTCTGCAGATTACAAGAAGAGAGAGCGCTGCTGCCCATGCTGTGCCCAGGGAGAAGAAGCTCAGGTCACCTGACAAAGACCACCACCACCCCAGCCACCCTGCCTGTCTACTCCCTTCCCTCACTCTTCTCACCCCTCTTCTGTCCAGTCTTCCCTTCTAGAAGCTGCTGAGCTAAGGCCATAGCACTGTAGCATGGGCAGGAGTGGCTGGCAGTCAGCTGACAGTTCCAGCACTGCATCTCCCACCAATGGAAGAGCTGGGCAGGATACGCATTAGGCTCTCAGGACTTGTTCACTACTGTGAGGGAAATGGGTTCCAGCCTCTCTCCATGAAGTCCCTCAAAGCTCAGCAAATCCATGACCATGAATCGCCCCAGGCTCTGCCACTTCTCTACCCTACCTTCTCGCCCAGCTGGGGTGCCCACTCCACACCTTCACAGCAGCACAGCCTGAACATATGCAACTGTTCAGTGGCTTCCCATGGAATCTGTTTCAGAGATCTGTTTGATTCATTTTGGTTTTTGTTTTGCTTTGCTTTGCTTTTAACAGATTTATTGAGGTGCTATTGACATACAATAAACATCACATAAACTTGATGAGTTTTGACTTTAATACTGTGAAGCCCTCATCCATGTTCATGCACATCCTTCAGCTCCAAGGATTCCTTGTGCCTCTTTGTAATCTCCCTCCCTCCATGCCCAGGCTATCACTGACCCTGCTTCCTGTCACCATAGACAAATGTGCACTTCCTGGAATTGTATATAAATGAAATCATACAGAAAAAACTCTTTTTTGTCTGCCCCTCTTCACTCAGCATAATTATTTTGAGATTCACCCCGTTGTTGCATTTATTGGTAGTTGTTTCCTATTGTTGAGTAGTACCCTGCTGTATGGATATGCTGCAAGTTGTTTACATATCCTCCTGTTGCTTTGAAATTGTATGGCTTCCTGCTTGGGACTGTTACAAATAGGGTCCGTCTGAGCATCTGTACACAAGTCTTCGTGTAGAGATGTACTTACATTTTTCTTGGGCAAATACCTAAATATGGTTGGATCACATGGTAGGAAGATGTTTAACATTAAAAAAAAAACAACTGTCAAACTATAATCTCTTGGTATCTGTTTGGGATTGGTTTCAGGACTCCCTGCAGATACTAAAATCTGAGGATGCTCAAGTCCCTTACGTAACATGGCACAGTATTTGCATGTGCACTATACACATCCCTCCCGTATACTTTAAATCATCCCTCAATTAATTATAATAACTAATACAGTGAAAATGCAATGCCAATAGTTGCTATGCTGTATTGTTTAGAGAATAATGACAGTGGAGAAAATCTGTACATGTTCAGATGAAATTTTTAAAAATATTTTTAACCCTCTTTGGTTGAATTCCTGTATGCAGAAACCAGGGATGGAGAAGGACCAGCTGGTATTTTCCAAAGATCTTGCATGCTGTACTTCTCCCTGGCAATAGATGAAAGTCCCAATTGCTTTCCAGGATATATGGATTTGGTGGGCAGCAGAGGAGGTCTGGGGCTCTCTGTCCTTCCTGTCTAATCATTGTTTGGCTTGGTGTTCAAGAACTGTGAGTGCCTGAGGGCAAGGGCTGAGAGCAGGTGGCTCTGTTCCATGCTTAATCAGACTTTGATAAAGACAGTGGACAAGCTGACCACAGGGTAAGATCACTTCCCCTGCTCTAGCCAAGAAGGCTTATGAAAATTGCTTGTCACCACTGGGCACCTACTTGTGGAGCTTCTGAGAAACCTGTTTCAGAAGAAGTGTGGGCCTCTCTCCATGACAAGTCGATTAGCTGCCCTGCCCAGGCTCTAGGGCACACTGTGTCCCAACAGGCATTTGCTCCCATCAGCTCTGCCTTACACATAGTCCCAGAGTCTCCGTAGCAGTTGGGCAATCCTGTGGCTCTGACTAGAGCCCATGGACGGCCTCTTGGGGTCAGGGCTGAGCAGAATTGCTTCCATTGCCTTTGAATGGAGCAAGAGTTTTGCAACCACAGTTTCTGCCCTCGATGGCTGGTGAAAACTTCTCTTTAGTAAACATAGTAATAAGGTGGCAAGAAGGAGTTGGGGGCTCCCTGAGCAATTCAAGTAATAGAGGCACCCTAAGAGGGAAGCAGTGCCTCCTGGAGATCGAACTGGCCCACACACTTTTACTGGGGGCAGGGTTCTTATTGCAGCAGAAAAAGTCATAATGGTAGGAATTCCAGCAGGGAATTCAGACCTTTCTAATGAGTGGATGGGGTCGGGTGTGGCTAGCAGAGCTTATTTGCAAAGAGGAAGATGCTTTTGGAGGAGAACTCATCAGAAGGGAATGGAGGAATGGGGGAGCTGATCTCCTCCTCTTCCAGCTTGGAGAAAGGAAGGGCAACACTGAGCATAGGCCTCAGGCTCAACTCTGCTCACAAAAATCCCCCACCAAGCCCAGTTGAGACCAAAATAGCTCTAAAAAGAACCTTCTAAATGTGTTAGACTTTGGGGATCCTCTAGCAGAAATTTCTACAATGGTCACCACAGACCACTCCAGACCTTAGCACTGCAAGGGCAGCAGTCCTTTCGCATGTGTCTGGCCACAGCAGTACCACCAGGAGCACATGAAAGATGTTCCCCAGATGCCCAAGGAGCACTCTGCAGGGCTGATGTCATGCACAAGCACATGGGGTCTAAACTGCTGCAGTCAGGATTGTCATTATTAATGTGACTTCGTTTGCTCTCATAGGCTTTTGGGCAACAAAATTACATAGCTCTTAGCATGACCCAGTTGTACATTACCTGTAAGTCCAGCTACCCAGGAGACTGAGGCAAGAAGATCACAAGCTCAAGCCCAACCTGGTCAATTTAGCAATATCCTATGTTAAATAAAATTTTTTTAAAAGTTAGGGTGTAGCTCAGAAGTAGAGCACTTGCCTAGCATGTGCAAGGCCCCGGAATCAATCTCTAGTACTGAAAAAGAAGAAGGAAAGAAAGAAAGAAAGAAAGAAAGAAAGAAAGAAAGAAAGAAAGAAAAGAAAAGAAAAGAAAGAGGAAGTTGTCTTAGTTACTTTTTCTCCTTGCCAAGACAAAATACCCAACACCCAAAGTTAAAGGAGAGGTTTATTTCAGCTCAGTTTGTTGAGGTTTCAGTCCATATTAGGCTGGCTCCAAGGCAGGGAGGCATGGCAGAGGAGAAATAGTTCATGGCAGGCAGAGGGCAGCAAAGCAGAAAGAAGGCAGCAAGCGAAGTAGTGAAGCAAGAAGTGACCACAGCAGCCCTCTTTAGTTGTTTAAATCAGATGCCAATGGAATACTCCTTGTACAGTTTCTCCAAACTTTGTCATGTCATTCAGTGCTCAACAAAAATGTATTGAGCACTAGTAATATGCTTAATGCTGTGAGTGGTTTGGGAACACAGAGATAACTATACACATAAAAGCTCAGCTTTCAAGATGTGGAGAAAGAAACAGCCAAACAGACAGATAATTACAAAACCTAGGCTAATTGGAAGAAAAAAGGAGGGTTGACCAGACTAGGAGGTGCAGGAAGTGCAAATGACTCCCAGCAGCTGGATTAGGGTGCGGCTGGTGGAAACAGGGTAGAGAAGTTACAGGGGTCAGCAGCAAGGGTACCAAGTGCTCAGGTCAGGACCTCAACTTTACTTGAGGCCCACAGAGATCCTTGCAGGGTTTTAGGAGGAAAAGAAAGTGATCAAATTCATATTTTAGGAAGCTCATCTGGCAGCAGAGCAGAGGGTGGATATAAGAGGGAACTCTTGAGGAAGGAGAGGAGGAGGAGCAAGGGAGGGAAGATGGGGACCAGCAGAAACAGCAGCAGCAGCTAACCATATCAGGCATTGTTCTCACTGCTCTATAAAGACACTCATTCAATCAATCTCAGTAACAGCTCCCTGTGCTGGGTGCTCCCATTGTACCCATGTTACAGATGATGAAACTGAGAACCAATGAGATTAAATCACTTGTCCACAACTAGTAAGGTTCACAACTAATAAGTGAATCAGCCAGCTCAGATCCAGAACTTGCAACCATTGCATGACTGTTGTAGTTTATGCGACAGAGGATGAAACGTTGCCTAACATGGTCCATGAAGGTGACAAGACCTATCAAGTTCAGAGCAATGTTAAGGAGAGGAAGAGCAAGCAGGGTGTGAGGTGAGGGGCCTGTGTATCTCTGTCTTGGGCTGAGCAATGGATAAGAGGATGCTTGAGAGAAAAAGCCCATGTATCAGGAAAGACAATGCAATCTGTTTCCTATATGTTCAGTTCACAGCATCTGTGGGGCCTCAGGGAGTTTACAGGTCATTGCACATTGGAGTTTGGAGATTTGGAGAGAGGCTGCTTGGGAACAACAGGTATGAGAGACACTGGCCCATGCAGGGTGCAGACTGACGCCGTGGATGCAGGTGGAGTCATTTTTCCATCATAAATGAAGTTTTGTTTTTTGGGTTTTGGGGGGTTTTGGGGGGTTTTTGGGGGGTTTTTTGGTACCGGGGATCGAACTCCAGTCCTTGCGCTTGCGCAGCAGATGGCGAAACCACTGAGCTAAATCCCCGGCCCCTATCATAAATGAAGTTTTAAAGTAGGGTGGTGACCCTATGACACACGTGCCACAGTGGCCTGTTTGTATCCCTGAAATCTCTAAGAGGTTCATCATCACTGGCTTTTTGTTGTTATTGTTGTTGTTGTTTTCTGGTACCAAAGATCTAACTCAGGACCTTGTGCTTGCCAGGCAGGTGTGGCGCCACTGAGCTACATCTCTGGCTCTCACCATCACTGTTTTAAAACATACAGCAGAAGCTATGGGTGTAGCTCAGTGGTAGGGCATTTGCCCAGCATGTGCAAGACACTGGGTTCCATCCAAGTGTACAGCAGGATGAGAGAAAATACTTTAACAAAACCAACAAATATTCAAAATACAATACTCTAACATTATATAACGAGTTCCTGCAAATCAATGACAAAAATGACAGTCTTATACGAAAGAGAAACAGATAAGAATAAATAATTTACAAAAGAAAAATACAAATATCTACAGGGAAAGATACTCAAGCTCGCCAGCAACTCAAGAACATACAAATTAAATGATGAAATATCATTTCCAGTTATCTGATTGAACAATGTTCATAGTGATCTACAGGGTAATAGAGGAGAATTTACATATTGTTTTTGAAAGGTAATTAATTAGTATTTATCAAAGTATACACACAATGAATATTAGCCAGCAAAATTATACTTAAGGTGCAAAAATACTCATCCAAGTTCCCAAAGACTTACATCTAAGGATGCTCATAGTAAGAACCTAAATATTTATCTATAAGGTAATTATCAAATAAATGATCATACTTCCATACCATGGATTATTATGTAGTCATTGAAATGAATGACAGATATATACACACTGAAGTAGAATAGACCAATGACACATCATTAACTTTCAAAAAATATAGCTAAAAAAAATGCCTTCTTTATTGAGGAAGGAAGGAAGAAGAACATGTGCTTGTATTTGCATGGGGAAAGATGTACCTTGGGGAAAGATATAGGTGAACAGAGGAAGAAAAGAGAAGTGAGAATTTCAAGTTTTACTCTTTATGCTTTTGTATTGCTTGTATTGATTCCAGTATGCCTGCTTTATTTTTATAATACTAAAGCAGTTTAGTTGAAGAAAAGCATTTGCTAGGTTTAGCAACCCCGTGGTAACCATGGCAAAAGCTATTTCTGTGGGGCAGTAGGAAGGAAGCCAGTGGCAGTGTGTTTACTGGGCAATGGGCAGGAAGTCAGAAGGTGGAGACAGCGCTGTGTCAGCCTGCTTTTTCAGTAAGTTATGACAAGGGGGACATAGCAAAATAGAAACTAATGGGGTCCCAGAACAGAGAGAAGGTGAGAAAGACGCAAATGAGCTCAGGGCAGAAGGGAAAGAGCAGTTGAGGGGCAGAGGGACCAGAAGACAGGATCTCAAGGATGGGGAGGCAGTGGGTCTCCCAGCCAGGAGCAGGGACTCCCAAGAAATAGAGGAAGGAACACTTCTCATGCTGACCCTGTGAGGGAGGGAGAACCTGCACGTGCAAGTTTAAGCAATCGACTGAAGGGGGCTGTGATGCCCGCATCTTCCTTCTTAAAAGGCTCCTAATGCTCAGAGAAGCAAACCTCCACCTTCAGACTGTCAGGCTCCTCCAGAAACCATTAGGCAAGGGTGTGAACATCTCCAGAGCTCATCTCAGAATCACCAGGCAGGATTTTAGCCTGGGATCGAGTCCCAGTTCAGAGTTCACTGCTGCTATGTGACACCTCCTCTGGCCAGCCTAGGGACTTCCCCCTTGGCAGCCCAAGTCAGAGCCGTCCCCAGCAAGGCTGCCTCACTTTCTTCCTTTCCAACAGCCTTGATTGCCACCAAGTCTTGAGTCACAGCAAGGGTGTTGGTGCCCACTCCAATCAGAGCAATAGCAGGTAGGTGAGCTGACCTGTCTTAGGACTGTCAGGGACATATCCCTGGTGGAAGGGACTTGGAAACTTCAGCCTTCCTCGAGGCCTCTGGAAATGGGTGATGCATTGCAGAAGCTTGGAGTTAAAATCACTGAGTCTCTGCCTAGATAATGCTGTAGAAAAGCTCTTTCTGTAGTAATGGACATGTTCTGTGTCTGCACAGACCAATATGGCAGCCACTGGCCAAAAGCCGCTTCTGAGCACTAGACATGTGGCTAGTATGATGAAGGAAATAAAGTTTTATTGGGCCAGGGATTTAGCTCAGTAGTTCCGGCACCTGCCTTGCAAGCGCAAGGTCCTGAGTTCAATCCCTGGTACCACAAAAAAAAGAAAAAGAAGTTTTTATTTTATTTTAATCAATTTATATTTAAATAGCTACATGTGGCTAAGCAGAACAATTTCCCTATTTTCCAAAACAAGCCCCTAAGGCCCATCTACCCTTACCCTGGCTATCAGCAGAAGCAGGATTGGAACCCAGCTCTTCATTCACTCCCTTTATGCACACGTTTGCATGCAGAGGGCTCAGAGGAAAGGAAATCAACTAAAGAACATCAAGAAGGGGGCTGTTGGGAAATGTCCAATCTGCAACCTCTTTGCCATCCTAGCCTTTGGGTTTCTTTTGGGTTTCTAGAGAAGTGCATAACAGAGCTCAGAAACCTGAGTCTGCTCCAGCTCCTGTCACAGTGGACAGAATATATGATTTACTGAGGGGGAGATAAAAAATATTTTTAAAACTGTTTAAACCCCAGTTCAGCTGTGTCACTGTAGGTAAGTTGCTTAACCTCTTGGAGTCAGTTTCCTCATCCAGAGAGTGCCTACCTAATGGGGTTGTTGGGAGGATTAAAAGATACAAATTCTGAAAAACACTTCACCCGTGTAACTAGAACTGAGTTAGGCACTCAGGATTGCAACTAATATGACTACTGTTCTCCAGCTCAAAGCAAATGAAGACATACATAAGAGTCAGACTTGAAATTAGGCTTGCTGCTCCCCCTTGTCTGGGGATGTAGTGGGAGAGAGGCATTGTGTTGTCTGCTAATAAACTATACCATTACTATTTCTTTTCTTTTTTTTTGGTACCGGGGATCGAGATCAGGTCCTTGCACTTACGTAGCAGGCCTTGAAACCATTGAGCTAAATCCCCAGCCCAATCCCATTACTATTGATCACAATCATAAAAGTTAACTCTGTGCTTTGGGCATGTCTTAAGTACTCCCTGGTAATCTCTCATTTCATACTCCCACAACCCAACGAGTTGCAGTCTACTGATGGCCCCATTTTACAGATGAGCAAACTGAGGCTCAGAAAGGAAAAATAGTTTGCCCAGTATTGCTCAGCTAGTTCTGCTCTCATGTGCCTCTTTCCAGGAATAAGGAATCTTGGTCTGGTTTTAGCATTCACTGGCCAGGTGTCATTGCATTTTTCCCCAGTATGGGAATGACAGGTGACAAATCCTAAGGAACATCTGCTGTACAGGTGGAAAGGCCTTTTCCTTGGGCCAGGCCACTTAAGTGAGTCTGCCCCAAGATTTGGGGACTCTCTGGACCCTGGGATCCAGGAAGCAACAGAAGGGGTGGGGGAGCATGGTTCACTGAGGTGCGGTTGGGAGGAAACAGGAAAATGTTCCTGGTTCTACCTGTATTAATCCTTTTACTTTATCAGTAACATATGGGACAAAATATATTCTTAGAGTCACTCAACACATTTTCAAAAATGTGTTGGACTTCTGTGGAATTCCCACTTTTAGCAAAAGAGGTTTTTTTCCACATTAGAAGGTCTTGGCCCCAAAGGTAGGATGGGAGCTCCTGTAGAGATGGGGTCCTCAAACAAGGTCAAGCGTGAAAGCCAGAAAAGAACAACACCCAAAGCTGGGCCTGTGACCAGAACAGAGGTTTGAGGGAGTGAGATAAAAAACAAGAGGGATAGGAATGGGGCCCCTAGTTGGTAGTGAGGATTCTCAATGAGACATGGCATGGAGTAGGAGTCTGTGAGGTCCTCAAGATTCTGAAGCAGGAGAAGACAAAAGGCACTAGGTCCAGGGAGGAAAATGCCCAACTCAGCAGACGCAAAGGCTCCATTGCTGCTGTCAATCAGCTGCCCGCCCCCTACTCAGGTAAAAGCCCAGTCCTGCTGCTGAGTAGCAAGACTGAGCAGCTGGAGGCCGGGAGAGTCAGATAACAATAGCCAGGGGGCTGTTGACATCATGACGAAGATGAGAGAGATCCCCTTGGCCCTTCATTCCTCTGGGCTTCAGTTTCTTCCTCTGTAAAATAGAAAAACTGGCTAGAAAATGGCACAGATTCCTTCCCAACATAAGCTTTATAAAACCATAAGACAACAATTTATCCCAGAGCTGACCTGGGAATTATTCAATGACACCAAAGCATCCGGCCCCCTCAGGAGCTCCTCCCTGAATTGAGCAATCTAATCTGCCACTCACTTCCTCCAGTGAGTTCTCATCACTACCACCCTTTCGTTGGCCTCAGCTACCCTCCTGGAGGTGTTCTACAGGTGAAAACCCCAGCATCCTGGTAAGTCTTGAACCCCTTCCCTCCCGCCACCCAGAATCAATCTCTCTCTCTCTCTCTCTCTCTCTCTCTCCCCCAACACCCAGCCTGGTCTTGGGCATCTACTCTCTCCCTTGATGGGCTCCTCACCCCTTGCCTTTTGCATTCCCTTGCTTTAGACCCCTTTACCCGCAAAGGAAAAATTTCTGCCGCCTTTCTCAACCCTGTCCAACAACCACACAGGGCAATCTGTGGTCACCCCCTGCCCTTGGCCCTGAAGCCTTCTCAGACCCAGCCAGCCCTCCTTCCTTTGGCTGGGACTGGGTCAGAGGATGGGCAGACACTGTGGACTCCCCCTCTCCTCCACTAAATGCAAGGACTTGTGGGCTACATGAAAGAGAGCAGGAATTCTGGGATTGTAGTAAAGTGGCTGGATTTGTTTTTGGTGTTGAAAAGATTACCTTAAATGTTTGGGATTTTGTAAATGCCACATGCTATTGCATTTGCATAGCATTAACTAATTAGAATTCATTCCACCATGGAGTTTCTGAACTGCTATGAGACATCAAGGGGCTGGAATTTTCACACAAGCTGGAATGTTCTCTCGGTCACAGAGAACACAACTGGGAAGTCGGCAGATGCTAGCCTGTTCAAAGGTGTTTGGTTTATCATCCAGCAAGGGCTGCTTCTTTCTTTCTAGGCCTAAGGAATAGCAAAAGATGGCAATGCTCAAAATTGTAAGTTACAGGAGTCAACTGTGCCCAGGTTGACTCAATTATGTCTCAAGAACTTACCTTAGCTGGGGATTTAGCTCAGTGGTTTCACCGCCTGCTGCGCAAGTGCAAGGACCCGAGTTTGATCCTCAGTACCAAAAAAAACACAAAACTTGTCTTAAAAATAGAGGGCTGAGATCCCCGGTACCAAAAAAAAAAAAAAAATAGAGGGCTGAGGGCAGCACTCAGCAGTGGAGCATATGCTAGGCACATGCAAGGTCAATCTTCAGCAAGGAAAAAACCAAAAATGCATAGTTTATAAATATATTTAATAGGCGAGATGTGATTTTTTTTTTTTTTAGAAGCAGTACTGTAGGCTGAAAATAATGTAAGTAAGCCATTTACACCTAGTTGGAATCCTGGCTGTGTAACTGGGAAAGATCACTTCTGCTGCAGCCTAATGAAGCCAAGTGGAGATACAGGGTGATGGGGGCCCTTGACTGACAAGCCAGCACATTGGAGGCCAGGGACTCATCTCCAAAACAAGGCCATCTTGATTAGGGGTTCAGGCACAAAGCTTTTATAGGGATTTGCGGGGAGGCGTATCAGCGCGGCGCCAGGGTAGTCACAAACTTTAGGTGGCCTGCTTTTCTGTTGCACAGGCTCCTATTATCCACAGGTCATCAGAGGTTCTGAATTCTGTAAGTCTAAAGAAAATTACTGATTAGAAAGTCTTATGACACATGTCATTTTAGCTCCTGTTCCTGGGAAGAGTTAATCCTGGAGTTAATCATTAGGACATGTTCCTTAGAGAACAGGGGAAAGTAACCAAAAAGCAGCTGTCTCTAGACAAGAGTGAGGGCAGCTTTTCACAGAAGAGTTTTAACCCAATAGGTGGCTTCAGTCAGAGGTGTCATCTACAGCAACACTAGTGGGAGACTAATAACGCATTGTTTAGGGGCCTGGGATTTAGCTCAGTGGTTTTGCCGCCTGCCGAGTTCGATCCTCCGTACCAAAAAAAAAAAAATAACACATTGTTTAGCTGTGTCACCTCTAAAACTAGTGATTTTTGCTTTCATTCTCTTTTTATTAGTGCATGTTTGTGATACATAATAAATACATTCATCGTGGGGAGTTGGCTCGGGTGCACATCTCGACTTAGTTCATTTCACTTCCCCTTCCCTCTCCCCTTTCCCTTCCATCTCTATCTCCCCTTCCCATCTCCAAAAGCTCTGCCTCCCTGTAAAACTGGTGATTTTTAAGGTAAACTAAAAACAGGAAGAGCTAGAGGGTCTGCTTAGGCTTTCCCTGAGTGGCAACTGCTCTGTGACAGATTGTTGTCACAGGCTGGTTTCTCAGTCTCTCTGGGCTTTGGTCTTATCACCTGCAAACTGGGGCGAATCACAGCTATCTGTAAGGACCAGAGGGGATTATTCACTGGCAAGGCACAAAGCAGACCTGGGATGTACAGTCTCCCTTCCCTTATTTTGCCCCTTTAACTACCAACTCATTGCCTCTAGAGAATGGTAAATTAAAACACACATCAAAACCAACAACAGGCTTCTCCTCATCCCCAGGCTAGAGGTCATGGTTCTGCCCTGGTTTTGTCTTCTGAGTTTCTGATCTTTCATCCTGACTTGCATGGTCACCACCAGGAATCTCAAGCTGACCCTGGAGGCCTGGGAGCATGAGCTCACCCAGATGCCTGCGGCCATTCCCCTCGCTCCACTAAACCCAGCCAAACAGGGCTATCTAGAGCAAGGACTTACCTGGGGACGTGCTCCACACAGTCACCCCAGCCCTGCTGCTTGCTGCTGATGCTCATGACTGGGTCGTCTGCTCTCTACCCCCTCTGTACCCTCCATGCTCTGCACCCACTCTGAAAGCTGGGTTTTCTCTTGGGCCATCTGTTCCCTTATGAGCATCACTGATCATCTGCTCTTAGAGGTGACCCATCTTCGACCTCATGACTTCACTGGACAGAACCTTGGGTTTCTCAGCAAACTTGCTCTTGTCTGTGAGCTTGCAGAACCAGTGACTCCTTTCAGGTCTTGCCAATCACACTGGCTTAACCAGCTATACCACCGGCCTCTCCCATGGCTTCCCTTCCTCCTGGCCAGTCGGCCCTCCACCCTCTTCGTCACGTCTTTCTAGGTTCACAGACTGATCAAATCTTCGCTCTCTGTGGTCTTGTTGTTCTGGGAAGGCAATTTATCTATTTGGGTCCCATCACTTACAGGGAAAAGTAATACCTTCTCAGGAAAGTGAAGGTTAAGATTTCATTGCTCTTAGGGAAGAAGGGCATTATTTTTCCAGTTTCTCTTAAATCTACTCAGTTTTCTTTTTTTCTACATATGATTGGCAATATCAGAGATTATCATCTACTAAAGAGAAAAGCTTCCGAGGACTTTTGTTGTTGTTTTAATATTTGTTTTTTTTTCTGCAAGATTGTGCATTCTTTGGTTAATCTTTTTTTAAATTGAGATGTAATTCACACACCACAAAAGTTACCCACATAAAGTGTGTGATTCAGCGATTATATAGCAGACTATATAAACCACTGCCACTAGTTCCAGAACACATTCATCATCCCAGAGAGAAATCCTGTACTCATTAACATTTCTCTCTCCCTCCAGCTCCTGGAAACCACTAATCCTACTTTCTTTCTCTATTAATTTGCCTATTCTGGTCACTTCACATATGAGGAATCATACACTATGAAGCCATTTTGTTTTGTTTTGTTTTGGGACCAGAGATCAAACTCAGGACCTTGCACTTGCAAGGTAGACACGGTGCCACTGAGTTAAACCCCTGGCCCTACGAAGCCTTTTGTATCTTACTTTTTTTCTACTTACAGTAATACTTTCCAGGTTCATTTGTGTGGTATTTCATTCCTTCTTGTAGGTGAATATATTCCATTGGATGTATATACCCTAAATTATCCATTTATCAGTTGATGAACATTTGATTTGTTTCCACTTTTTTTTTGGCTATTATGATAAATACTGCTATAAACATTTGTGTATATGTTTTTGTGTGAATATACATTTTCAATTTTCTTGTGTATGTACCTAGAATGGGAATTGCTGGGTGACATGGTTTAACTTTTTGAGCAAATGCTACACTGTTTTCCAGTGCTGCACGATTTTGCATTCCCATCAGTGATGTACGAGGGTTCCCATTTCTCCACATCCTTATTACCTTTTTTTTTGATACTGGAGATCGAACTCAGGACCTTGTGCTTGCAAGGCAGATAGCAACAACACTGAGCTAAATCCCCAGCCCTTTATTACCTATCTTTTAAAAATTATACCCAGCCTAGTAAGTATGAAATAGTTTCTAGGACTTTTCACTTGCTGTTTCTTCTCTAACACTAGCTTCTATTTGGGGATGGGTTATGGATTTAGATATGGTCATAGGGTAGTCAAGTTTTATAAAGAAATAGCATGACCCAGGCATGGTGGTGCGAGCCTGTAATATCAGCATTTTGGCCGGTAAAAAAGGAAGATTGCAAGTTCAAACTCAACCTGGGCACCTTAGTGACTTAGTGAGACCCTGTCTCAAAATTTTAAAAAATTAAAAGGGCTGGGGGGCCAGGGATTTAGCTCAGTGGTTTCACTGCCTGCTGCACAAGTACAAGGACCTGAGTTCGATCCCCAGTACCAAAAAAGAAAAGAAACATTAAATATATATAAATAAATTCATAAATAAATTGGGTCGGGGATTTAGCTCAGTGGTTCTGCTGCCTGCCTCCAAAGCACAAGGACCCGAGTTTGATCCTTGGTACAAAAAAAAAAAAAAAAAGGGCTGGGGGTATAGCTCAGTTCAAAGGCCCTGGGTTTAATCCCCAGTACACTAAATAAATAAGTAAAATAGGAAGAAGGAGGGAAGGAAGGAAAGAGAACAGGGAAGTTTCAAAAATGTTTTGGGTGACTGTAACGTCACAGAAAATGATCACTTCTCTCTGATATTGAAGAAAACTGTAGTCTTTTTCTAAAATATACTATTTTGTCTCATAATCTTACTGCTCCTATCACTTACAACTTGGAAGTAAAAATTACTTCCATATAATATGTAAACCAATGCAAAGAATCCTTTCTATCCCAATTTCTCGGGTGCATGGGTAACAATTGGGGATGATTTTACTGTGCAGTAACCCTCATCTCTCCTCTATAGGCAGGATTTAAGTTTACCTGAAAATGGAAGAATTTTTATTGGAGTACAACTACACTGACGAGTTTAGTCATTACAGCACTGATCTGTCCCTTATTCCATTAGATTCTGCCCCATGTCACCCAGAATCCCTTGAAATCAACAGTTATGTTCTAGTCATAATCTATGCCCTGGTGTCCCTGCTGAGCCTGCTGGGAAACTCTCTGGTGATGCTGGTCGTCTTGTATACCAGGAGAACCTGCTCTGTCACTGATGTCTATCTGCTGAACCTGGCCATAGCTGACCTGCTCTTTGCCCTGACCTTGCCCTTCTGGGCAGCCTCCAAGATGAACGGCTGGACTTTTGGCACACCCATGTGCAAGATGGTCTCATTCCTGAAAGAAGTCAACTTCTATAGCAGTATCCTGCTGCTGGCCTGCATCAGCATGGACCGCTACCTGGCCATTGTCCACGCCACACGCACTCTGATCCAGAAGCGGTATTTGGTCAAGTTTGTGTGCTTAAATGTGTGGGGAGTATCTCTGATTCTGTCCCTCCCCATGTTACTTTTCCGTACCACTGTCTACCCATCTGACTTCAGCCCAGTTTGCTATGAAGACCTTGGGCACAATACAAACACAGGACGTATGGTGCTGCGGATCCTGTCCCAGATCTTCGGCTTCATCCTGCCACTGCTGGTCATGCTGTTGTGCTATGGCTTCACACTGCGCACACTGTTTAAGGCCCAAATGGGACAGAAGCACCGGGCCATGAAGGTCATCTTTGCTGTTGTGCTTGTCTTCCTACTCTGCTGGCTGCCGTACAACCTGGTTCTGCTCGCGGACACTCTCATGAGGAACCATTGGATCGAGGAGACCTGTGAGCGCCGCAATGACATTGACCGGGCCCTGGAGGCCACTGAGATCCTGGGCTTCCTCCACAGCTGCCTCAACCCCCTCATCTATGCCTTCATTGGGCAAAAGTTTCGCTATGGACTCCTCAAGATCATGGCCACTTACGGCCTGGTCAGCAAGGAGTTCTTGCCCAAGGAGGCCCGGCCTTCCTTTGTTGGCTCTTCTTCTGGAAACACTTCTACCACCCTCTGAGATGGTTTGCCCAAGCTGTAGCCCCTCAGATTTCCTCCTTTCCTTCAGCCTCCTATTTCAAGCCTCATGTCCGCTGGCTCTTCATGGTATCCGTGGCGATGCAGCCCCTCCATTGTGGTTACAGGAAAAAGCGAGGCCTCATCCTCACCAGGCCCACTGCATGGCACTCTAGCCCTTTCCATGATCACCATGCTAACTGGTAGAGTTGGCCCATCCTACTACTGGGCCCAAAGCAGTCTGTTTTCTAAGACATGCAAATCAAAACCACAATGAGATGTCATTTCATACCCACCAGGGGAAGCTATTATTAGAAAGAAGAAAAATAAAGAGAAAATAGCAAGGAGGTAGAGAAACTGGAACTCTTGCATATTGCTGGTGGAAGTAGAAGATGGCACAGGCACCATGGGAAACAACAAGGCAGTTTTCCTTAAAACATTAATCACAGGGGGCCGGGATTCAGCTCAGTGGCACCGTGCCTGCCCCACAAGTGCAAGTTCTTGAGTTCGATCCCTCGTACCAAAAAAAAAAACATTAAACAGAATGACCACATGATGCTGCAATTCCACTTCTAGGCATGTACCCAAAAGAACTGAAAGTGAGGACTTGGACAAATATCCTTATACCACAGCATTATTTGCAACAATAAGGGCAGAAACAACCTGAAAGTTCATTGATAAATGAATGGATAAATGAAATGTGATGTATACCTATGATGGAATATTATTTGGTCATAAAAAAAGAAAGGACTGATGCATGTTACAGCCTGGATGAATCTTGAAAACATTTTTCTAAGTGAAATAAACAGGCTACAAAAGGACAAATACTATATGATTCCACTTACACAAAGTACCTAGAGTAGTTGAATTCCAAGACCAAAAAGAGAATAATGGTTACCAGATGGTGAGGGAATGAAAAGTTACTGTTTAATGTGTGCAGAATTTCAATTTGGGGTGAGGAAAATGTTCTGAAGATAGACAGTGTGGTAGTTGTATAATAATATGAAAGCACTGGATGGCCCTAAACTGTACACTTAAAATGGTTAAAAAAGAGGCTGGAAATATAGCTCAGTGGTAGAGCTGCTGCCTAGCCTTTGTAAGGTCCTGGATTATCCCCAGAACCTCAAAAAAAAGTAAATGTTTACATATACTTAACATCAATTAAAAGAAACAGAGCCCGGGGGCCGGGGATTTAGCTCAATGGTTCTGCGCCCTGCCTCAAAAGCGCAAGGTCCCGAGTTCGATCCCCAGTACCAAAAAAACCCACAAAAAAAAACCAGAGCCCAAAAAGGCACTTTAACCACCTACCTACAATTTCTTGTAAAACAATATCATTAAACGTTTTTTTGTATAAACCAATTTTAGTTGGGTATTTATTTCATTACTTTCACCAAAAACAAATTGCTACTTAAAGGTAAACTAGGGTGAGCAGAGGTCCTAAAGTGAGGATCTTTCAAGAAATAAGTCCCTTGCTAGGTCCCGGGTCCATAGAGAGAAGGTTGGGATGAAGATGGAGATCCTCCTTTCCATTCCTCATGCTGCCCACCTCCAGCCCCCACTGCTGAGCGTGGATGTGGGGACAATGTGTTGGGGCCCTGTGGTGCTCCTCAGATCTGGGGTATACTAGTAGTCCGGAGCATCCCGGATGGGTTTAGAAGAGGCACAAGGTCAGGAAGGTCACCAATCAGTCCGATTGGGTACCCAGAGGGCAGGGAGCTCTCCTGGCCTCAACAAGCAGCTCCCACTTCTCTCCTTTCCAGCACACATCTACCCTTCTTTCAGGGTGTGACAAGAGAGTAGAGTGCAGAACAGGGAAATGATATGCAATCTGTTACCCGAAACAAGAGATTTGAATCATTCCTTCAACACGTATTGAGGGCCTCCTGTCCCAGCAGGCTGGGATATAGCAGCACTCAAAACAGACAGAGCCCTGCCCTGGTCGAACTCGTACTCACTCACAGGGCTGGGGGAGGGGGAGTCTTTGCTAAGGGAGTAGGAAAGCAAGAGGAACTAAACACCTCCAGTTACCAAATCGCCCCAATCTCAGCATTAAGCAGGAGCCAGTGCGGAGCCAAGGAGAAACCCTGCCCCTGCTTGAGGGTATTTAACTTCCACTTGCAACTGAGAAAAATGCTTTTCCCACTGTGTTCAGCAAGCAGGATTAAGCCAGCACTAACTAGCCCTTGTTCCAAGCTCATTCTCCACCAGGGACTGCACTAAGTTCAGGAGCAAGCTTGACTCAGCTGCTCCTCTGGTACAGCAGGGAGAAAGTGCAGAAGGATGAGTATTTACCGAACATTGGAGAATCCAGAAGGACCAGTGGTGTTCTGGCTGGGTGAAGCAACCGGCTGGATGGCTACCTGGGTGACTCTCGAGGGAGGAGGCCAAATTGGCCTTGCTCCTGTTCCGAGACTCTGCTGTTTGCTCCTCTAACAAGGCCTGGGGGACACTGTGAGACCAAAGCGACTCCATTTTGCTAAAATCCACCATTCCCCTAGCCTCTCAAATTAATGGTTAAAATATGTTTGCTCTGGGACAGAAGATACAATCTGTAACAAACCAAAGTTCCTAAGTTAATTACTCAGCCATCTGTTTGCCCAGGAAATAAACATTCCGGGCCCCCTATCCATAGAACAATCTGTAGATGTGCTGTCAGTACGTAACGGTCGTGACTAATAGTCAGTGTGTCTGCTGACCATCAGTACGTGACAGTCGACCACCAACCTTTGCCCCTCATTTCCCTCGTAAAACCTACATGTAACCGCCCCTCAACCCCCCGATGCACCTGGCCAATCAAAAATGTACACTTCATGCTTGCTAATTGTTAACTAATCATGTAACTGCTAAATGAAAAATCTCCAAACCTTGCTGTAACCTCTATAAAAACCCCGTTAATTTAAAATTCGGGGCTCTCAATTCTGATCCGCTGCGTCGGTGACGATTGGGAGCCCCTGCTCGAGCTTGAATAAACGACCCTCGTGCGTTTGCATCGGAATCGGCTCCTTGGTGGTCTTTGGGGACTTCGCGATCTGGGCACAACAGAAACAAGATTCTTCAAGGAAAAAAGGTGGCTATGATGAGCCTGGAAGCAACAAGGTTGAGATGGAATTGCACTTTAGTGAATTCTAAACCTCTCTCTCTCTCTCTCTCTCTCTCTCTCTCTCTCTCTCTCTACCTTTTTCTGTCTCTCCTCCCATTCCCTCTGACTTGATCTCTTTCTCTCAAGTACAATTCTGGCATGAAGAGTTTTCCAAAACCTCATGGCTGCAGAGAGGTAGAGCTGAAATAAAAATTCCTAGTTCAGCTCATTTTTTATCAGTTATTTTGCTTTTGTGACAGTGACGTTTCAGTCACTGGACAGGATAGGGGGGAAATTGTATATTGCACTCACAAGGGTAGGACCTGTCCAGTTTTTCTGCACCTAGACTCATCGGTACCTGGAGCTGAGGGTATTGGGGTTCCACCATCCTGTTAGAGGTAAGGACCAGCTGAAGCTTAGGGACACAGATGTGGCAGCAGGCTCCTACTGCTTACCCTGCTCTGAACTGGTAGGAGGACAGATAAAGAGACATCAGAGCCCAATACAAAATTCATAGACAAGCAAATCCAACTTCCTATTGAGGGCACATCTGTATAGTCAGGGTTCAACCCAAGTTGCAGAGCCACTAGGAGGAGGGGTCTGTAATATTAATTCTGCCCTACACCATTGTGGGAGCTGCCGAGACAGTCTGTGTCAGGCTGTTGGCTTTGCTCCTGATGTGGGACCTGAAGCCAGCAGGACAACCTGGAGGAAAGATGGACACAAAGAAGGGAATGGTGAGGGCAAGCTGGAACCCTCTGGGATGCATTGAAGCCTGTGCGGGTCCAAGTTCAATGTGAGAATGGCCGGCTGGGGCTGGGGGCCTGAGTCTTGAAGGAAACGCACACCCTAGGTGCTGGGGCCCCAGCTGCTGTCAGCAGATAGTAGAAAATGTGCAGTGGTGTCAGGTGCCTTTCAGGAACCTTCCAAAGCCTAACAAGTGTGACTACCACTTCCCCGTTCCAGGTCTCATATACAATGTCCCTGCTGCCCTGCACCACCTGGATATGAAGGGCACTGATGTCCTCTGCCTTAACCTACATGACGGGTGCTGGGATTCACTGTATTGTTATATTCTGTAGTCTACAGGTGTAAGTTCTCTGTAACTGCTAGTATGTATGTGTTTAGTCATTAAAATAAAGAGAAAACAACATAGAGAAGGTAATCAGAAGGACAAAGGGACAACTTGGGTCATTTCAAAGAGCCAATGCAGGGTGTTGAGTCCAGGCTTTACCTCCTGTAGTCTGGGAGATCCAACTCATCAAATCAGAAGATGTTCTCATCCCTGACTGCTAGGAGAGTGAATAGATACCATCTTTAGAGAAGGCATTTCTCTACCTACTTTATGTACATACTCTCTGATGCCAGAGAAATACCCACATGGGCACATTATATTTGTCAAAGCCTAAGCTTAAGAACAATGGAAATGTCCATAGGGGATTTATATAAACTATGATGGAGCATCCATGCCACAGATACAGCAAATACAGTGATTTAGAAGCAACATTAAAAACACTGAGTTAAGGAAGCTAGAAGACCACATGTTGTGTGAGTCCATCCAGGTGAAGGATCCGGAGAAGGCAAATCCATGGGGACAGAATGCAGATGACTGGTTGTCTGGGGCCAGGGATGAGGTCAGGATAGAGTGTAAATAGCCCCGGGCGCTTTTCCGAGGTGATGGGCATATGCTAAATCTGGACTGCAGTGATATTTGCACAACTGTGTAAATTTACTAAAAATCTTTGGCTTGTGCTAGAGTTTGAATATCTGCTCCAAACTCATGTTGAAAGTTATTTTCTATTAAATAAAAGAAGATAATAGAAAACAGGGAAATAGCATTTTTGCACCAGGGAAGGGGACCAAGATATGGAAGGGGGAAAAGGGAGAGGAAGGGGATGAAAAAAAGAATTAAGATGTGTTCTGTATCAGAATGTAACCATTATATACTGGGAACATGTACTAATAAAAAATAAAAAGTGAGGAAAAAAGAAAGAAAAAATGTTCTGTTAAAGCAGCACCAAGAGGTGACTTTAAGGAGTGCTTCGAATATGAGAGTCTGCCCTTATGAATGGATTAATGCCTTTATCTTGGGAGTCAGTTACCACAGAAATTCTTGAGTTTTACAAAAGGACAAGTTTAGCCATCTACAGTGGCACTCGCCTGTGATCCCAGGCCTAGGGAGACTGAAGCAGGAGGATCGCCATAAGTTCAAGGCTAGCCTGTACTACAGAGCAAGATCCTGTCTCAAAAAACAGAACAAAGCCCAAAAGCAGATAAGTTTAAGCTAGTCCTCCAAGGACCTTGTACATGCTAGGCAAGCTCTCTATCACTGAGCTATACCCCAACTCTTATTTTAGTTCACTTTGAGAGAAGGTCTTGCTAAGTTGCCCAGGCTGGCCTGGAACTCACTATCCTACTGCCTCAGCCTTTCATATAGCTGGGATTTCAGGCGTGACCACTACACCAGGCCTCTCTTGCACATGTTCACTTGCCTTTCCACCATGTTTTATCACTACACAAATGTCCTTGCCAGATCATGGTGCCAGGATCCTGGACTTTCCAGCCTTCAGAACTATGAGCCAAGTAAACTTTTATTGTTTATAGATTATACAGTCTGTGGTATTCTGTTACAGCAGCAGAAAATGAGCTAAGGCAGATTGTATACTTAAAACAGATTGTGAATCTTACAGTGGCTAAATTATACCTCAGTAAAGCTGTTTACAAAAATAATTGTCAAACAATGAAGTCAAGCTGGGAGCGCAGTTCACTGGGAGTCCTTGGCCTGTGCAAGGCCCTGGCTTCCATCCCCTGGACCAAAAAATAAAATAAAAATAACTTAAATAAGTAGTTATATGAATGAACATGAAAAGATCTTCAAGAAACAATGTCGAATAGAAAGGGAAAGTAGAACAACATTGTGGTAAAAAATTGTGTAGAAGGGCCGGGGATTTAGCTCAGTGGTTCTGCTGCCTGCCCCACAAGCGCAAGGACCCGAGTTCGATCCCCGGTACCAAAAAAAAAAAAAAAAAATTGTGTAGAAATCACTATGATACATGTGGGTTTATAAAAGCTTTTAAAAATGTTTTGGAAGACAAGAGGATATACACAGAGTTTAATAAGTGTTAGTGCTGAGGAGAACTGAAGAGTGAAGTAATATTTCTGATTATACATTGCAATAATTTGTTTAGGGCTGGATTTTTCCAAAAATGAAGATGGTGAGGTCCGGATATGGGTGGGACTTACCAAGCCAGCATGAGAGTAACCCTCCTCACACACCAGGAGCCCGGGCTGCTTGGGCGTGCCCATTGCTATGTCTTATAGTCAGTCATTCAATGAACAAGATCAGGGTGCCCCCTCCCCCCACTAGGTTTTTTTGGGGGATTTTTGGTTTCAGTTTTTTTCATTCGTTCATTTGTTTGTTTATTTGTTTTGAGACAGAGTCTTGCTATATAGTTTAGGCTGGCCTTGAGCTCCCTATGTAGCCCAGGCTGGCCTCAAACTCGCAGCAGTTCTCCTATCTCAGCCTCCTGAGTGTGCACCACCAAGTCCAATGTGGTGTTTTTTTTAATACCACCTTATTTTCAAATAGTTGAGCAATAAGGAAATTTGTTGACAGCAGACCACAGAAGAACTAAGCAGCACTGAGGGAATGGAGCAGCACCTCTGAAAGTCCTCTACACTTAAAATGAGCATCTTATAAAAAGGCAAATTAATGCCAGGCATGGCAGCACAAGCCTAAAATCCCAGCTCCTTAGGAAGCTGATTCAGAAGGGTAGCAAGCTGGAGGCTCCCTGAGCTACATAACAAGACCCTGTCTCAAAAATAACACTTTTAACAGTCTGGAGATATAGCTCAGTGGCAAGCATCAAACGAGTTCAATCTCCACCAAACAAAATAAAATTTTTTAAAGGTAGATTTAGGAACAACTCCTGAATGGATCAGGCTGTAGCAAGAACATACTCAATGGCAGTCAGGTTGGACAAGGAGAGAGTTTTCTCTAACTCAGTAAGAGTTAAATAAAGGGACTTTTAACAAAAATGCAGACAGGATTTGAGTAAAGTATTGAGAATTGGTGCAGAGCTCCCAGATAAGGGACAGTGGGGTGCTGTTAGCATCCCTGGACCTAACCAGGCAAAATGAGGGAGCCCGAGAAAGACAGTGGTATGAGGGCCACCTGACGCGTGCCAGCCCGCACAGCATCATCTGGGACAGGCCCCAGGGAGAAAATGCCATGGCTTGACACTTCTCCTGTTCAGGGTCCTCCAGGCTTTCCCTCTCAGGCTTCCCACTAGCTGATCTCCATTCAACCTCTCCCCAACCTTCTACCAGGATTCCCATTGACTGAGCCCCTCCTGACTCCCACCCAGATTTCGCACTGACTGCACTCAACCTGACTTCCTGCCAGGAATCAGAAATCACAGGGTAAGGGAGCCA